GCTCTTCCCTAGTATGAGTGACCTCCATCTTCTGTCACTGTATACAGCATTCCTAAGAAAAGCTCCCCTCCTCCTATTACTGCTGACAATGACATTTTTAAGTGGAGATAAAGGTGAATAATTGACCAGTTTATAGTCCGTATTACAACTTCATGTTTCAGATTTTTTTTTGGGGGGGTGGGGGGAGAAAAAAGGCAAAAACAAGATCAAGGAAAGAAATTAGCAGACAAGGAAATACAAGACTGGTGAAAAAAGCTAAAAAAAAGAGCCAGACATAAATTAAAAAGATAAAAGATTGGAAGACAATTTGAAAATAATAAAGGGAAAAAAGAGGCAATGCATTTAAGAGTATGTACATTGCCAAAATATTACCACAAGAATAGGCTGATACACACAGAAGTGAGTGCGACACTGTCGTCTTCTCCTACACATGAACGTGTTTGAGTTTTCCATCAAACTTTTACATTATGCATTCACAGAATACAAAAGTATTCCAAAAACTTTCTCTAGAAAGAGACAAAATGACAGAGCAGGGCAGCCAGGAGATAACCGATTATGGAGGAGACAAATGTAGTCACGTCTTTGCCACTCCCTTGACCTTAGGCTGTCTACTTTGTATGATCCATGTACGTACCGTGAAATTCCACGGACACAATCAAAGAAACATTTTTGTTGAAGTTGATAATTTCCAGTATTTGTCTACAAATTCTCCAGCTGTGGTGAGGGAGCACCTCTTGCATCCTCCTCATACTGATAATTGCTGGCCATGCTCCGTGATGAAATACATTCTTAATCTACACAGATCTATGACTTGGCCCTTACAGTTGTGCAAAACCTCGATGTCATCATTGTGGCTCCCTGTACAGATCTAAGTCTCTGCAGGATGCATTATATTCAGTAGGACTTTTTTGGCATTAGGAGTGATATGATCTGAAACAAATACAATTCTGCTGGAATAGTCCTCAGCATATTTTCATTCTGTACAAGAGCACTAACTGACTTACAGGGAAGTTTGAATCAAACCAGAAAACAAAAACCAAACCTGCAACACCTTCTACTGGAATTAAAGCATTTATTAAAGTGATTATACCTGTATGGGTGGTGATACCTTCTCATGCAGATTAGACATCAATCTGTCCTTAAGCTGCCCTTATATTAATAACATCTCAGTAGCTTTGGTAGCATATTGCATAATTTAACCATTTACTATCCTAGATATCACCTCTCAGCTGGAGTTGGTTTTCCCTAGGACAAAAAAAGAACAGGAGTCGGGGCTGGGCAGGGAGGTCATGCCTTTTAGGCACAGAAATGAATTCTCATGTTCCAAAAACTAATGAAAGTTAAAAATGGAGAAGCAAATTCTATGTTTATGGACCTTCACTATTTGCATTTTCACCCCAAGTCTCACATTCATTTAGAAAGTTCAAGTTTTCTGTAAAGGTTTTTGAGAAACTTCAGCATCAAAGGATCCATAAAAGGGAAGTACGTTCCCACTACATCCTCCTGATCTGCACACTATGCCACTGATATGATTGTAATTCCTAGACACACTGAAATCCCACATACCTTACAAAACACAAACTTTTCCAAGTGCCCAAGTGTTATCCTAGTCAGTCCCTTTACAGTCCATGACAAATGGCATACATACCATGTATGCTTTTCCTTGTTTTACCTAGTGGGAGTATCTCCCCTCCCAAAATAACACTGAATCTATACAGTACACATACTAGTCTGTGATTTAAATTATCTTAGAATATCTGACTTGTCTTTCATATACAAAAATCAGCAGAAAGATAAGACAAGAAAATGGATTCACTGAGAGGCCAGAGCTCACATTAATATTCATTGCTGGCCAGCATTCAACCATGAGCGAACACCTATGTTCCAGTAGTTACATCTCTGAGATACAGTTCAAATTTCTTCCGGTAGGAATGCAAGCTGAAGACAGCCTTCACTTTTTAGAATTAGTTTGTTACTTAGATTGTATTAGCCAATTTTGTTTTGCACCTTGAGATATGCAGGCTTACTTCCTTCTTTAATGAACACTATTAGCAAAAGCTTTATATAGGAGGCTTTAGTCATGGGCATTACAAAAATGCATTTAGCATAATTTCTTGAAACTCCAAATAGTATTGGACAGGAAAAATTTTGGATTCTTTTTACTTTTTATTATAAGCTGTAAGATATATTGCACACCAACATCCTAAAACTTCCCTAAATAACCTAAAACCATATACAGGCTGGAAAATCAGACCCTTTGCATATTTTCATCTAATTTGCTAATGTTTTTAGTCTATAATAACAGAAAGTCTGAATTATATTATAAAATGTTCTCATTAAAAAGCCTACCAACATTTTGAAAGATAAAAAAGGCCCCATTTTGTTCACACTAATAAAAATGTAATTTACATGCAAAGAAGAAACGCTTACATTCAAAAACACCTAACAGAGGAAGAAATTCAGTCAGCTGCAGAACATCAGGGCAATCTGTTTTATTCGGGTAACTGCAGAGATCCCATTCCCCTTCTTTTGGGCTCCTATTCCAGCCTAGGGGGTTACCGTACTTTTGCATTACACAGGCAGTGTATTCAGGATGAGAGATCATGAGCTTTCCTTACCAAAAGGGACACAAAGACCTACTGCGATTCACTGTAACACATGAGTATCTTCCTCCATACTCGCTGGGAAACTCGATTCTTGTACCTATCCACCCAGCAGAGAAAACTTCATGCCATAAAATCATGTAACAATGTTGCTACAGAAGGGAATGCTCATCTTTGAAAGAGTATTAGTGACTTTACCGCTAACCCACATTGCAAATCCCTTAGGAACCGAGGGAGAAGAAAAAGTACATCCGAGGAAACTTTTCTACGGAAATTGCTTTCTCTGAACAGACAGCATTTTGTGATGGAAAAATTTGACTTGCAGCCCATGAAACAATCTGTATTTTCTGTTAGTAACTAGATTGGGTTTTGGTCGGGTGTGTGCTGAATGGGTGACTGGAACAGACTTACTTCTGATTTCCTGACCCTTCCTCGATGTCAGTCTATTACAGCCCGAATACCCCCATGGATTCAGTTATTTCTCCTTTTGATCCTCCAGAAGGACATACTGACCACAGTGGGAAAAGGGGAGTCTGAAGATAGTTCTACGTATGTCCAGAGCTAGAACTGGTAAAGATGGCAGACATGGGAGAGGAAGAGCAAAAAAGCAGCCAACAGATGAGGATGTCACAGTGAAACCCTGGAATACGAGTTGAAATTTCATTCATCTGTAATTCTCCCAGAACAAAATAGTTGAAATGCCAACAAACACATTCCACAGTGCACCAAGGTTGTATCTGCACTGCAGGTGCAAACCCACAGCTGCCCCGGGGAGAGGCAGCAGTTCAGCTTTAAGGACAAATCATAGAATATCTCAAGTTGCAAGAGACCCATAAGGATCACCGAGTCCAATTAGGTCAGGGTTGATTAATTTAATCCACTTCACTTTGCAGGGAGGAAAAAAAAAAAAAAAAAAAAATACAAAGAGTTCATTTACAGTACTGAGATAATACTGTTGGGGTAGACCTAAAGCAAGACTGAACTCTTTGTAGAGTGTATTTTGAATTTTACAGTGTTTGACAGCAGAAAAATTCTACCTACTAATATGCAAAACACCTCCTCTCCTCCTGTTAATTACTTATGTCACCATGCGACTTCTGTCATCTCCACAAGACTACTAAACCTTAAAACAGCTCTCTGGGTACGTTTGGGAGATCAGAAGCAGCAAGTCATTTCCTTCCCCTTAGAACACACTGGATTTCCAAGCTGACTTCCAAATGGCAACCACAACTAGGACTCCCTATCCATCTTTATCCTGTCTTACACAAACAGATGTTTGCTTTTATAAAAAGTTTTGGCATGGAAAATTGTTAAACAGTTAAAATTTCAGGAAGTTAGGAGAGAGACAAACTTTTTAACTCGTCCTTCTCTCTCTCTGGCAAACAGCAGTTTAATACGTTAAGTTCTGTGACTTCCTTCCTTAGCAAAGCTTGTCTCACCATAGTTTAATTCACATGCAGTTCTGTTTCAGAAGAGAAAAATAATTCCTTTGATATCTAAGTTTCTAATTTTTATTCTGGAATTCAGCAAAAAAAGTGAAACTGGCAAGAATATCTGCAAACATAACAACTCAGCTCAAACCTTGCCTATCCACTGTAACTGTTCTAAGTGCTTTCAAAGGTAGGGTTTTTTCCTATGCTTAAAATCCATTAAATCATATAAGCCGCTTTCACCTTAGAAATCTTAAATCTCTTTAAATTATTTGTACCATTTTATGGGAATGATCAAAAAAGAATTACTAAAGTCAGTGGACAGCTTCCTACTTTAGGGTAGCAAGCTAACATTAAAATATAAACCACTAAACCATTGAGATTATTTTTTTAAAAAAAAATTCTACATGATTTAGGAAAACTACTTAATTTGAGAGTCTTCATATCTCATGCAGGGTCTCCTCAGTTAACCGAACTTTCATCAGGTCCTGAAAGACACTGAAAGTGCTCAATATTTGCAGAATATGGGGAATGCCAGGGAATCTGTGGGATACTGTAAGTATCCGTATTACTGGGGAAACTAGGAAGCCTTATTTTTAGCAATTCATGTCAGCAAGTTTCTATCGGTCTTTTCTCACCAAACACCTTCAGCCATGTCTCCAGAACTTCTCTAGCAATAAAAAGATGCAGAATAGTGCTCTTGCAGATTAATGCACTTATTCCTAAAAAGCACTTAACAGCACTAACTCAATAAGCTGACTACAAGATACAGTACTTCTCATAAATGGGATAGGAATAATCAACTGCTAATGCTCATTT